TGGCAGGAAAATTGATGCCACCGAAAGGGGAAACAGTGACCATGGAAAATATGTTACTAAAGCGATATTAATATCACTTAGGGTCTCTTTAGTGGCTGTCTCTTATACCCATCTACATTTTGAAGGGTCTCTAGAGTCTTTCTGCCTGTGGGTTGGATAAGAATTAAAAAAAAAAAAATGTTGGAACTATTAAAATAGAGTCATTTTCATGGTCTTGAACGAACTTTTATTCTGCAATAGAATATTGTGTCTTCGCAATTTGGAGAAGACTCAAACAAAATGAAAAGGGAAGATAATAAATTCATAGAGAATTCTAGCCCTAGTTATAAGTCAAACACGGTTAGGTTAATAATTAAAATACAAAATGATTAGGGTTTATCCAAGTAGCTAACAACCTAATGAGTCTAATGATAATTTTTCTTTTAAATAAAGAAACATAGATTAAGTTTGAATTATAGATATGTGAGTAAAGTTCATATATGTAATTGAATGAGAGATATATGTCTCCTATAATATAACTCAAAAATAAATAAATAAATGCATCCCTCTTAAGTATTATTAGGTAAATAATTAAAAGTAATAAGATTAAGATTTAGTTTGATAATACTGATAAATAATCATAATAGTAGGTTTTTTAAATTTTTAATATTTTAAAAATATATAAAATAAATTTAATACTTATTTTTATTTATATTTTATATATTTTTAAATTAATGAAAAGATATAAAAATAAAAAAAAATAAAATATTACAAAGTATTCAAAGGAGGAAGACTTGGGAAAGAATTGAAGCAGTCCTCCTCGGTAGAATATTTGGGAAAGAATTGAAGCAGTCCTCCTCGGTAGAATATTTGGGAAAGAATTGAAGCAGTCCTCCTCGGTAGAATATTCAAAGTCACTGAGAAAATTAAATATTGTAGACTGTACTTTGAAAAGCCTTTAACTGCAGTTTTGGGCTTGAACCGGCGGGCTTTCAGTTCTCGAAGATTAAGGCCTGCAACTGGTCCGTATTGTATAATTTTTAGGGGTGGTTGTTTTCGATTTTTTTAAAAACAATTATTACTTATTAATTTTAATTAAAGAAGTTGTATATTTTAAATTAAAATAAAAAAATTATTAATAATTAGATATCAACTATCGTTGAAAAAATTAATTCAAACAACCCTTTAGACTTTTAGTTATTAAGTTCATTTTAGAATGATTTTGGTTTTTAATATTTTATTTTCATTTTTTTATATATTTAGTAACTATTATTATATTTACAAATTAAAATTTAATATAAAAATTAAATGTATTAAATTTAATATAAATATAGTACTACAGTAGTTACTGAACAAGTAAAAAATTAAAAATAAAAAATTAGAAACTAAAACCATATAGAGTTCGAAATAATTTTAGTTTGACTTGGGTTAAAGCTGTTGGCCGTTATCAAGTTAAAATGCAACAAATAGATATAGGGTTTTTTTGTTATTGTATTTTTTTGATATTAATTGACATTAAAAAATAAAAATTTATTATTCACTCTATCTCATAGTAACTGTTTTTTTTTTTTTGTTAAAAAAAATATTTAAATTAAAAATTTGAAGACAATTTTATATATTTATAAGGTTTACTTGAAATCTCAATACCACTTATAAACCTGTTGTGCCCAAAAAACCTCCCGAATAAAACACATTCCTGAATCATCAATTACATTGAAAATGCATTAAGACAAACTGAAGTTGCAAAGTCTTACTGTTTCCTAAAAAAAAAGGGGGTAAATCTGCACGGCTTGAAGACACAACCTGCAAAAACAAATCCCTAACCAAAACAAGAGGGGAAGCAGTTGTTGGTAAAAAGGTTTATTGGCTACTTAATTTGTTGATCAATATATGGTTTTTTAAAGACGTCAATGAGGAGATAATTCTCTATAAATCTTCTACTCTCAGCATAGATGATTTGTTTTTAACCAAATCAAAGAAAAATTAATCTCACCTTAATTGCTAAAAAAAGAAGAAGAAAGGCTCAATTCTCAAACTTGAAGGTTGGTAATCGAATTGAACTTGAAGTAAAACCCTCATCCATTTACTTGAGCTAAGCCTAAACTCCTTGAGGGTATGTTTGGTTTGAGGGGAAGGGAGGGAAGGGAAAAAAATTCATTTAACTTTTAATTCTTTTACTTATCCAAGAGGGAGGGAAGGGAAGAAAATTCATTTAACTTTTAATTCTTTTATTTATCCAAATGAAGGAAGAGAGGAGAGGTAAGGGGAATGAAAGGGTGTCTCGATTTCTTATCTCATCTTTATTATTCTTAAACCAAATCAATCTTAAGTGGGTGTCTAGTTTATTTTCTTGAAATATATTATCTTTTAAGATTTTATAAGGATATTTTGATATTTATATATCTTAAAATTATAATAAATAAAGAATAAAAACAATATTTTTATTTTTTATTTTTCTTAATTAACCAATCATCAATCACTTTTTCATTAAAAAAAATCTTTTTTAATAAAATTAACTCTCAACTGAACACATCTTAAAAATTAAGCTTTAACTTAATTCCCTTACAAGTTGACTACTAAAGATGAGGTTGTCTCAAATCACATGAATCACATCTACATCTCTCAAAATACCAGGACATTTCTCTTAGTGTTTTAAAGTCAGATGTTCAAAAGTCAAAAGATATACAGGACAAAAATTCGGCTTGACTCAAGTGTCAACCCCCAAATTTAAACTTTTGCCGAACAGCACACAAGCTAACCCCCTAATTTTTCTTTGCACATGTTTCTCCATGATGGAAAAAAAGAACAAAGCAACACAATTAATTTCATTATTCTAATAATTAATCATCCTTGTGTATCAAAACTGCTCTGTTGTTAAACTGTCTACATCTCAATCAAACAAAAGCTGACGACAATGTCGATTTAAATTGATTTTCTTTCATGGTAAGAAAAAATTGGTAACCGAGTACAACCCATTATTCATTCACTTGCTTTTAAATTAAACTTGCTTTCTCTATTAAGCTCCACCATTGCGGCCAATGGCCCCGCTTCATGAGGTCGGCGCGTTTTATTAGGTCGGTAGAATGTTCACCTGATTTAAAAATTGAATTTTTAGTTATTAATACTTAATAATATTAATTTATTAACTATTATTTTTATTAAAAAAAAAAACTTGTTTTCTTTATTTGTTGTCCTATTAGACTATGACATCAAACAACTATTGGATCATGGTAAGTTTATATTTTTAATTTAATTAGATATAGCATGTATTAAAAAATATGTGTATATCAAATTAAATCGTAATCAATAAAATATAATACCGACAAGTTAACTATTGGTCTAAAAAAAATATTATCGGTCTAAAAAAAATATTATCGGTCTATTTCTTTGACTTTTTATAGTCCTTTCTAAGATATTGAAAATATTTTCCTTGTTGTTTAGTCAAGTAATACATTAGTACCTAAGTTCCATATTTTTATTTGAATTTTGAGTTTAAATTATGGCAGGGAAATTGCATAGCCTCTTTCAGTGTTAATACATGAAGAAATCTTGACGAGGGTAGAAAATCAAAGAGATGACAGTAATCTGACTCTGTATTGTCCCAACTCTTCACCAAATGCCAAATTTGAGCAACAACGTAAGAAAGTTCCAGGTATGGTCGGCGTTCTAATTAATTTTTTCAGCAATCAATCTCAACTGCTCTTGTTTTTTTTCGATCTTAATTTCCATGAAAGTATTACCATCACGTAAACCTAATCTAGTTTTAAGATACTAAACAAGAGTTTTAGTCATGTGAACACACCTAGTGTTATTTTTGTCGTCTTGTCCGCCGCATTAATTGCATATAGTCCGAGTTTTAGGAATAGCATTCCCTCCTATCAGATTTTTAGTCGGGTTTAGTTTTTTTTAATTTGAATTTTAAATAAAATTTAATAAAATAATTTTATGTAATAAATAAATAATAATTAAAATTTTTTTCTCTATATGTAATTTTGTTGATTATTTTTATATAAATTAAAAAAAATTTTCATTTATTATTCATTTGTTACATGAAATCGTCAAGTTAATTTAAATAGAGTTGAGTGACTAAGATAACTAAAAAAATTTGAAGAAAGTATTATATTTTCTTGTAAATATTAAAAAATATAAAAATAATACATATTAATCTCAACTCTAAAAAAATATTAGCATCTCAATATTAAATAATATTAATTTATTTAATTAAAACTTAATTTAATATAATTGTTATTTTTTTACTTTGAATTTATTCCAAATTAATTGTTATTTTTTTTTTTTTTTCAAGGTAGATAAATATTTTTTTTACTTTAATCATATTATTATCAATTTATTTTAATTAATTATTCAATTACAAAAAGTCTTTCCTAATCTTTTATTTCTATTTTTAGGGGATATTGTAAACAAATCCAATTATTGTCTCCAAATTAATTGTTTTCAAATTCTTAATTTAAGAAAAAAAATTCAATTTTTATTTTTTTATTTTTTTATTTTAAATATAAAAAACAACATTTAATAAGATAAATTTTTAAATTTTAAATTAAAATTTAAGAAAATAAAGTTGAAATTAAAATTTTTTTAAAGTAAAAACTAATATGTACTAACCTTTAATTATTAATTATTATTAACTATTAAGTTAAACAAAATTAATATTTTAAAATCAAAACCGGTTGAGCTTAACCTTCGACATTTAGCCATTGCATCCCGTAACCGCACCCAAACCTTTAACAGTTAGCCATTTGACCCGGTAACCACACCCATCTTTTTCCTCCTTCTACAGTACTTTTGAGGAAAATCATAATTAAGTAGGCATTTAATTTTTTTTTAATATTTAGTTTAATTTAATTATTAAAATATAATATAATTATAATTGATTCATTAATTTTTACATTTTATATGTATAATTATATTTTTAAATTTATTTATTTTTAATTTTAAATTAAAAATAATAATTTTTTAATAAATATATTATATGATATATTAAAATAAACTGTATATTAATCACTGTTTTATTATTATTATTTTTTAACTATGGGATATTTTCTTTTATTTTTTGGTGAATAACATTTTCTTTCTTTCTTTCTTTCTTTCTTTTAATGAGAACGAAGGGGCATTTTCTGTCCACGCCTTTATGTCATCAATGATGCGATTAATTTGTTTCTTTTTTTTTAAAGGATTTATAAGTGTACAATTATTATATAATTTTTATATTAATTAATATTAAAAAATATAAAAATTATCAATAATTCTATTACTAGTGTTACTTAAATAATTTTAATTAGATAATTATTTAAATAAAAGTTAACTTTTATTTTTTCAGTATTAATTAATATAAAAAATATATAATAATTACATCATTAACTTATACTTTAAAGTACAAGTTTAAAAAACTATTTTTTAATAAAATGGTTAATATTTTTTTGAATATTGAGTACAAAACAATATAAAAATATATGTAAAAAGTGTTATATGGTTAAGATTGAATGACTCATACAACTATAACAATTAGATGGGGTTGGACCTCTTGAATTAATACCCTTTCTCCATCTAATAATTTTTATTTTACAGTTTAGTATAGTTTAGACAATAAAACAAAAGATTCAATATATATAGTATAAATATCATAATTTAAAGACAATATACAACAAAACCTATGATTTCTTGTATTAAGTAATACGGTGATATTTTTCTTCTGATAGAAATAAGAAATTCAAAGTTTGAATTGCATGATATATGAGTGTAATATATTAAGAGATAAAATATGGTTATCTATTATTATGCAACTTAATGATTGAAAAAAATATCAATTAAGTACAATTTTAATTGGTATGGTTAAGTTGCTTTTAAGAATTTGAGAATTTAAGATCAATTAAATACATACAAATTTAGTCACTTAATTTTAAAAAATGACACTTTTATTATTATATTCTCAATAAGTGTGGTGCTTTCCTTCCCTAAAATAAGTCTCATTTTTTAACTCTTTAGGTTTCAAATGACAAAAAGTAATGAGAAAATTATATTATAACGTAGTTTGAAATCTCTTATTATTTCAAATTGAGCCGCATTTATTTGTTATCTTTGAAAAAGAAATCTTATCATGCAATGATAAAAGCTTACAACGTAGGTGTTCTTAGAATTATTCGTATCAAATTTTTTAACATACATACCATTAAAAAAAAAAGTGTCACTTTGTTTTAAAGTAAAAAGAAGAAAGTGGCCTGTTCTTTTTATAGTGGGGGATGAAAGTAACCATTTTCTAAAAGCAAGGTGACTAAAAAGGTACTTATCCCTTTAATTTTATGTCCACTTTTGATGTACTAATTGCTTTTGGAACATCATTTGGAAATCTCAACGAAAACATCACCAAATTGCAAGGAAATTGGAGATGTGGAAATATAAGGAAGTTGGTCTACCATCATTAACTCCTCTTTTGAACCACTTTGAACAACTGGCTTTTTAAGTAGTAGCTTCCCACAATTATTAGGGAGACAAAGCATGGTGTTTGTTTGGCCGTAGTACCAAAGGGCACGTCTATTTCAAGGCTAATTGTGGAAAATTGTAAAGCTGAAAGTCACATATTTGTAGCTTCTAAAATGGTAAAATTATTTTTCAATCCCATTTGAGTTTCCAGCTAAACAATGACTAAGCCTCACGATAAATGGAGCCCACAATTATTTGTTTAGTCTAGACCAGTGAACACGGCTCCTCCAAAATGGATGAGGTTGCACTTGCACCGTCCAATTTATTAGAGTGTCAATTTAATTGTAATAATAATAATTAAAATTAATAATGTGATATAAATTACATTATTTAAAATATTAAAAAATTAATTTTATGTTATTTAATAGTTAATTGTTTTTACCTTTTTAAAATTTATTATATTACATATATTAATTAATTTAATAATATGACATAAATTAAGTCATTTATTTTAAATTTTGTACTCTTTTATTATTCAATTTTATGAGTTTGGAATTTTTTTTAATAATTAGTTATGATATTGAAAAATATTTATTTATAAATTAATTTTAATTTATTTAATAATAAATATTAATTATTTTTTAAATAATTAAATTAAAATAAAAATTTAAGAATTATTAGTAAAAATATTATTTTTTTTGTACGAAACAAATCGAGTGTTGTTTGAAATAACTGGGCAAAAGGTACAGACGCACAGTACTTCCCTTACATGAATTAATAACTAGATTAATTAATGAGGTTTAATTGCTACGTACTCATGATAATTATAGAACTTGGATGTGGTAATGAGTTATGACAATTGGGCGAATTGTTATGACCACAATTTACTAATGATTTTTTTTTGTCAATTTATAGTTTTTTTTTTGTTAAATAGGTAATTATGATATTTTGAATTATTTATTTATAAAATGAATTTAATTTATAAATAATAAATATAAATTATTTTATTAATTAGTAATTATTTTTAATAATTAAATTAAGATAAAATTTAAATAGATTGTGTGACTTTAACTGTATATTTAAATTGAAAAAAAGTAAAAGAAAGGGGGAGGGAGGTGAATTTTATCCCTCCGATTCTCATTTTCTCATTTTCTTTTATTTGAATAAATAAATAAAGTTAGAAAAAATAATGGTATTTTTTCCTCTTTCCTCCCCTCCAATATTCTTATAATAATTCAATAGAAAATTTTTTTCCCTTTTTTTCCTTTCACTCATTTCAATCCAATCATATTGTGATAGATGATTGTGTGGTATGTCCACTGCAATAGAACTTCATGGTTACAATCCTTCCAACAGAAAAATCTTTTCATCAAATACTTCTACATATATATATATATATATATAGAAAAGCCTTGGCTAGGCTAAGTATAGGCTAAGTTTATATGTAATGGGCTTATATTCATTTGCATTTTATTAAGAAATTGGAACACTTTGTTACAAATTCCATGTTACAAGTTCTTTACAAGAAATGAAGAAATCATTACAAAGGAAAGAAAAAAAGAAAAAAAGAAAGGGTTCTAGCTGTGTTGACCTTGGATGGAACACTTATTTGTTCATCCTAGATGGGCATTAATCTAAAATACTTGACAGAAAGAATAAATTAATTACTTCCATATACAGAAAAGAATAACTGAAACTAAATCCTTGGTTAAATTAAAACTCAATTTTTTAGTTTGGTTAAAGCCTTCATCGACGTACTAACTTCATGGTCCGTATGTAATCTTCTTCTTCAATCCCCTCAACCTCCAGCAAGTTCTTCAACACTGCATCCGTGGCTGTTGTCAAGAATTCTGACCAGTCCCTGTAGTATATCAGTAACAAAGATGACATTAAATAGAGATCAGAAATAAACAAATAAATATATATATAAGTTCTTTTGACTGTTAAAAAAATCAGAAATTATTTATAAATAAAAATGTTTTTTATGGTTTAAAATGTATTTCACTATACAAAACTAGTAATAATTGGGAGGACCATTTGAATAAGACATTATCTTTTTTTATTCGTTATTACTCGTTTTATAGTTTAATACAATTTAAACCGTAAAATAATCTTCTTTTTCAAGGTAAGCAATTGTACTATAAAACCTGGGCAAACAGACCGATAATCCAATGGGTGCACCTAGCCTAACAAGTGACTTGGTTAGAAGTGCAGCTCCCCAGCCCCCATGGGCTGGGTTGTGAAGTGTGAACCCCTTCTCCCTTTCCCCAAAAATTGCACTTGTTCAAAAAGATAACCCAATGGGTTAGCACCTGCTCTAGCTAGGACCCGTTGACTTATATACCAAAGTGCGAAAAAGCGCTTTGATGGATGTATAGATCCCCAGACAAGGCATTATAACTGATTTTTTTAAGACAAGGATAGTATATGCATACCCTCTCAATGTGTCAAATGTGAGTCCGACGGTGTACTTAGCTTCTTCCAAGGCCGTCTCGAACATCTGCAGCTCCTTCTTCGGACGGGAGCCGTCGTCCATAACCCGGAGCTGAGACGGTTTGACGTCGCAAAAGATTGGAATGATCCTTTTCCTACTTTTTGTCATTAAATCCAGCTCGTGGAGACAAAAATATGATTCACAATAACGCGGCGAGAAGACAGCGACCCCGACCTTGCAGTGTCGAATAGCCCCATCAATTTTGTCGAACAGCCGGTCACCGGGCATCATATTCTTGCTGTCCAGAAAGGGGTTGAGCCCGAGGCGGCGAAAGTGGTCGTAGAGCAATCCAGAAATGGTTCTCTTTGTGTCGATTCCTCGATGATTAATGAAAACATCGCAGGGGTGAAGTCGTTTAGACAAGGTTCCGATCATGTTGTGGTGGATTTTTGTAGAGAAGTTTTTAACAAGAGACGAGGAAATATGCATGGCGCCTCGGAGAAGTTACAGAAAAATTATATGATTTAAATTCAAATATTGATTGAGATAGCCATACATTGGGCTGGGTCTTCATCTATTTATACTTTCAGTTAGAGAGTTTTTTTGAGAAAATCTGTTTACGCGGTGGTAATATTATTATTAATTTTGTATTATTTTTATGTAATAAGCAGGAAGAATTGGGAATTAGAGGGAAAGAAGGAAGGAGAATGAGAAGGAATTTGAGGTTTCTAAAAGTTGGGTGGACCTTGAAGTTGAACATTTGACAGCAGAAAGAGTAAAATATGTACCTTGAAAAAAATTTTGAATCTTATTGTTCTGAAAATTCCTTCAAACACGTTTTGATTATATTTGCATTTTGGTGAGGTTAGATTCGCTGACACAGTCTTTCCCAAAGAATATCTGGATGCACCGTGTATGCGGATACCTTTTCTGGCACTTCTTTGCCGTTTTGGGTTATGGTTAAATTCAATCCCTTTTTCAACTTCTGGCATAATACAAAATTAAGGAGGTAATATTCTTCCATGAGTGAATTGAAATTTGAGTTATATATATATATATATATATATATAGTCCAAGAACCATTAATTAGGATGGTATAAACAGAGCATGACTGATAAACATATATGAGTAACAAAGAATATAAGTTGAAACATGAATTCCATTTATATCATGTAAGAGTTAAAATATTCATTGTACTTTATTTTAATAAAAGTCTTTTGTTTTTTTTTATCAAAAAAAAAAAAAAAAACCAAATTAATCTATCAGTAAGGTATGAATAAAGAATTCTTCCAAAGTATAATTATTCTTTCAACGAATTAGAGTAAAATTGTACATAAGTCATGGCTTAAGTCTTGTGTACATATTCATTTCTACTTCTAGCTTTTTGCCAAAGCGTGATACACATCTATACCACTAATGAATGGATTGAAGTTCTTAATGGAGGCTTCAAAAATCAGCATTTCCATTTATACCTATGCTTGAATTTAAAATGTAGTCTACTAATAGCTAACTTCGCATATACATCGTGCAAGCTCATATGTATATAGTTTGATCATTACTTTGTTGCATTTGACCACAAAAAAGAGTTGCGTTCCTCTTTAAATAGGCAACTTAGTCTTCCTCAATCCAAATAAATGTTATCTATATGTGTAAACACTCAAAATAATAATATCTATAATACTTTATTAGTTATTATAATAAAATCACGCGTAAAGTTTTGATTTATTAATTATTAGATAAACAACACTAATCGATAAAAATTGAAAAGTTTTTATTAAAAAAGTGCAAGTAATTGAGGTGAAATACTAGATAAACAACCCTAATAGATGAAAATTAAAAAGCCAACAACAAAAATTAATTAAGTGAATCAATCTTACTATTTCTTTTTAGGTTAAATCCCCAATTTGGTCCCTGAACTATTGTATGGACTCATGATTTGATCCCTGAACTAAACAAATCCTTGATTTGGTCCGTAAATTGTTGTACGGATCCCCAATTTTGTCCTTATTGTTTACTAATTTGCTCCAAATTAGTCTTTCTGTACAAAAAAAAAACTGACGTATTTAGTATTTAGCGACAAAAAACATTAACTTAACGGTAGAAAACAATAACTTAATGACCACGTGTTACGTTAATAATGAGACACGTTAGTTGTTTTTGTATAGAATGACCAACTTGGGGCAAATTAGTAAATAATATGGACCAAATTGGGGTTTTGTACAATAGTTCAGAGACTAAATTATGAATTTTTTTAGTTTAGGGACCAAATCAGAGATCTGTATAATAGTTTAGGGATCAAATTAGAGATTTAACCTTTCTTTTTAGGTGAAAAAAAGGATTGAGAATTAATCAATCTCACTTCAACTATTCATAGGAGAGTAAAGACAAATTACTACAGAAGTGGTATGAAATGTTGACTAAAATCACATTAAAAAATTTTGATTTATTGATTATTAGATAAATAACACTAATTAATAAAAATTAAAAAGTTTTTATTGAAAGAATGCAAATTAATAATTGAAGTGAAATGTCAGACAAACAACCTTAATCGTTGAAAATTGAGAGCCACTGACATAAATTAATTAAGTGAATCAATCTTATTATTTCTTTTTAGGTGAAAAAAAGGATTGAGATTTAATCAATCTCACTTTCAACCACTCATAGGAGAGTAAAGACAAATTACTTCAAAAGTGGTATGAAATGTTGACTAGGTTCTTGCCGACTCAACACTATTATTTCTGTTTTAAAATAATAATAATTTTTTATTTTAAAATTTTATTTTAATTAATAATTATATTTTTTAAAGTAAATAAATATTTTTTTATTTTAATCTTATCATTATTTATTTACTTTGATTAACTATCTTATTACAAAAAAAATTTTATCTTTTAAATAGATCTTTTAAAAGTAATAATATAAATAAATATATAAATTATTCTCAAATCTTTAATTTGAAAAAAGAAAATGAAATAGAGGAAATTATTTTGTTGCATCCAATCACCATAAGGGTAGCTGGCCTTCCTTAACTTTCAGCAAAATTAGTACCTTAGGTTACAAATGGATTAAACTAAATTAGTACCTTAACTATCTTAATCACATTATTACACATAAAATTTGGGTTAATTAACTAACTTGTCAGGGGTCGTGAATGCAATATATATTCACCGAAAGATCGATGGCAGGAAAATTGATGCCACCGAAAGGGGAAACAGTGACCATGGAAAATATGTTACTAAAGCGATATTAATATCACTTAGGGTCTCTTTAGTGG